ACTGTGAAGACCACAGTAGAAAGACAAAGTGTCACCAGCACTTCACTGCTAATAGCATACCCTTGTGTTAGTGCTAAGTCACATAGGTCATGTATAGCTGGCATTTTAGGACCATATAGGGTCCCTTCCTCAAGGTGACTTAGTCAGTAAAAATCAGAAGGTAAAATCTCTAAGGATTGATTGGTAAGCAGATATTTATCTATGTTTGAGCAAGATGTTGTAGCATCAGGACCCCTCCTCTTTTTAGCACTAGTAGTGGTGCACATGTGGAACTTTGAAATGCACTATTGCTCCATAGCAGAGGGTAAAACAGGGCCAAGCTTACATGAAGACCTTCAAACAAGCTGAAAAGTCTCCCTTGTCAATGACGATCACAACCAGCATCTGGAGCACTTGCTGTCACTGAATTGTAGCAAGTGATGTTCTTTATCGTGTTATGTATTTTTCTCAGCCAAAATCATTGCACAACACTGCAAAGCAGGATAGCTCATATACGCCTTATTATCTGTATGTAACATTGCACAGAATTTCTCTTGGCACCTAACACTTCTGTTTCACCTCAGGGATTTGCTGCAACCAGACTGTACAACAAGAAATTCTGTGTCATCACCAAGATGAAGTCAAACTTCCCCACTCTGGAGCAGCTGAAGGCTATTTCTGAAAATAAAAACCAGGTAAAATAATTATTTCTACCAATTAACAACTGTAGCCATCTTTTTGGGGGTATCAGAAATGGTCCTCATCAAACAGGATATTTTGCTAAACTCTTAGGTAAATAAGAGAACCAGAACTTCCGCAAAGTGGAAAAGTTGGTTTGGTAATAAAGGGCATCAGTGAACAGAGGGGATTCTCCTCCTGGGAAATTAACTAATAATCTGATTAAATTAATTGGGAGCAGAGGAACTACTGCAACCAGCATATAAAATTAACCATACGTATATAAATGCACACCAGTATGGAAACGATAAAAGCTTTATATATGAAAAGATTAATAATAATGCCTACAAGAGTCCAGATGGAATTGTGCACATATACTCAGGTATATATAGTTATTAATAAATATTAATAAAAATAATTTCAGATAATTTTACAGCAAAGACCAGTTTTAGGGGTCCATGGGGATTATCATGATGCAGCATTCACCTTGGTATGAGAGCCCTGCGGTGATGAGAATACTATCCAGCCATTTTCCAACCAGCCTAGAATGCAGCTTTTTGCCAGCAGCCGTGGTGTGACATTTAAACTCAGAATCAGCCTACCTACTCTGTGCTTAGTCCCTTATAGTGTCTAATCTGTCATGCAATTGGACCTCTAACTACCAGAAGTGGCTGTTGGATGCCTAACCTGACTTTAGTCTATGCTGGTTATCGAGCCCTAAGCTAAAAAAAAAAAAAACCTATAGAACCCCAGACCAGAAGAGAAAGGGGTCTGGGACTCTGGAGACTTTCTCTCTTTCTCTCCCTCCACTTCCTCTTTCTGGGGTTTCCAAAGCCAACCTCCCAGAGACAGGAAGTGTTAATACATAAATATACATAATACTGTAATATTAGCAGATAACAGTAGAGGGTGGTAGATCTCTACACAACCTTGAGTAAGGAATAGCCCCCATTTAACTGTGTATTTTTAGGGATTGAGTTCTGTGTTCTAGCTCATAATCCAATGCAAAGTGTTTTAGTAAAATTGTCCTCTGTTTCAGGCATACTCTACACTGCCTAATGCTAAATCCAGTTAATCTAACAAGACTACAAGAATCCCTCTATGTACTTTTATATACAGATCTAGGATTGTTATTGGGGTATTTCAGAAGACAGATTTTCTGGGTCACTAGCTTTATAATATTGTCATCCTTCCTGTGCTGCTCCTTTACTGTGTGCACTACAAATCTCAGAATTCTGTGACAGTGAAAGCAACCGGTAACTCAGTTTACTTAATCTCTTGCAACCAATTACAGTTTATATCTGTAAGCTATTATTGCTAATGTCCCTTCTTAAATGTACACACTCTATATCGAAAACTTTCCTCCATCCAGTTACTGGCATGAGCTCGCATTTTTTCTCTAAACCTCAGATTTTGTGGTGGTAGAGAGAAGTGGGCAAATGACAGATTAGTAACTGTGATTTATAGAGCTCCTTCCAGCTTCAAGGAAACATTACATACACCCTTGGTCCTTACTGTAATCCAGACTCTCCCTGGGTGTTGGCAAAGATCTGTTCTGTGGATGCCAGTAGACTGAAAACTACAGCTAAAAATAATTTCCAACTCAGACTAAAATTCCAATATTGTAACTGTATAATGGCCCACTATGGATTTAATAACACAAAGATAGTATTAGTGATACTTCACTTAGATGCAAACATTCAACAAGACTATGTCAGCCAATCAAGTTCTTGTTTTCTAATGTAGAGGAACATCATTAAAGTAGGACAGTCATTTTGTTAACGTGCATATATAGCCCAAACCATTTTCTCAGTTTTTAATACATTAGGAAAAGATTTCCTGTCTGTGGCCTATTGTTACCCTTTGTTTACTGTCCCAAAGATGTAACAGGAACTGTGAGGAAAGCCTACAAAGTGAGGGGAATTGCTAACTTAGACAGTTGTCACCAGAAGAGGTAACACCATTTAAAGATATCCCTTTATATTTTCTTCTGGAGATAATTTTTAGGTTTATATTTATACACTGTAAATCATCATCTCTGCTCATACATAGTGTTTGGCTGGGTATCAGTGCCCTCTCTGTTAAGAAGAGTTTGAATACCACATGTGCCATACACACATGGCAAAGGGAGTCATCATTATTGGCAAAATCTCTCTGCCTTCTATCAACATGTGTGGTGTTCCTGAACTAATGCTGATTTTCTTATCTTAAACTGGACCTTTCCCCTCCTTCACTAACAATCACAGCACTGTACAGCTCTGCATGCTGATACAAAATTGTCTTGCATTGATTAGTTACACAAACATTTGCTAACATTAACTAGAAAGAGTTCCAGGGAGCAAAGGGAGATGGATTAATTTGCCCTTAGTAGAAATGGCAACTGTGAGAATAATAGGGAGGAAAAGAAAAATAAGGTGTGCAAAGAATAGAAAGCCTGCAATTATCTATAAGTATCTAATAAGTATCTATAATTTGTATGATAGGTGTGAAGTTCTTCTTTAAGTGATTCCAAAAGGAGGGTTTCCCCTTATCCATTAACAAAATATTAGCAGATTTTTATTACCCCCGTTGTTTACAACATTGGGTAGTGTTTACAGCTTAGAGTCTGGATTCATACATCTGTACTATAACATATAGTGCATAAAATGCTCTGTGTAAATTGTATTCATGGTTAAGCAGGACTCCAGGCATACAGGTAAATACACAGCTGAAATACATACTATATATGTTTACTGTTTCACCAGCCAAAGAATTTGTAATTTTGGCCAGCCATTCTTTTGACACACACCTTTACTTGTTAATAATGTAAATCGCTATGCAACTTTTGGGGTTAGCTTTATGAATCCTGATGTAAGATCCCTGCACACTGGAGTTATTGATATTGAATTACCATCCAATGAGGTGGTTGGAGTTGACAATCAACAAAGCTGTACCATATATTGCATAAACTACATGTGTGACCTGTCTGAGCAGTATATTAAATATGTGTACATCAGAACACTAGCAAAATACCAATGGAAGTACAGAATACAGAACACCAAATCTTTTGGCAGGTTAAGCAGTACAAAAATTTAATTCAACCCCATATTTAACTGTTTCCCAGCATTTTTCTTTAGAGCATTCTTAATCTATTAATTCAGCCATTCTCAACAAGGGTTCCATGGAACCCTAAAGCTTCTCCTGATGTTGCTAGGTTGTGGCTGATTGACCTCCCATTTGGTAACATTCAAAGGGCCAACACCACTTGATGAGTCCGTGACATGACACAAATTATCCTTTTAGCTGCAAGGTGGCATTTTGAATACCACTGTAAAATGCCATTGTCCCCATTGACCACCAATGTAAGGGGCATTTTTCCCACTGCCCCCGATAAATTGGTTTTAGAATGGGTTCTCCAGGACCTGAAAATTATTTTGAGGGTTCCTCTAGAGTAAAAAGGTTGAGAAAGGCTATATTATTCTTTCATATTAAATACAATAAACCAAACATGTTGGACTGAAACTGAGACATTTCTAATACATCTCTAAGAAAATGATATGTGTATCATTTGAGTAAGTATGCCTGTGTATCATTTTTAGGCTCCACCAACCACAGAGCTCACAACTTACACCATCAACCAGACACCCATTGTTCACATTGAAGAGTTTGGACGCCACATTGAAGCTCTCTGCAAAGGCATGCCGTCCTACACTGCCATAGAGATGCCTCGTAAGTTACTGTTTGGTTATGTGATTTTATCAGACTAAAAGATGGGAGCTGTTTTCGAAAGGAAACCTGCCATGATAAAATATGGATTGCTGACATGTATTTGAAAATGACAGTCATCTTGCCTTAGTTTTAGAACTTTCTAAATTACCGATCCAAAACCAGTAATGAAGTCAGAACTCCTATTTTGCATGCTTGTTCCAGGTCAGTGATTCAGAAAGCAATGAAATCAGCAGGTCAATGGGGCAGCCTGAGAATTAGTACAGAAAGTGATAACCCCAGACATGGCAGCACCTGTATTTTTCTCGACAGTAAAAAAAATAGGTCTTGCTATTATTGTATTATTTGTAATAATAGTGCACACTTGCTGATTCCATACGCCCTCCTTTTGAGGATGGCACCCTAGTTCCTAGTAATGCCCTTAAGCACCCATTTAGGCTATTTTATCTCCTTCAGTACTCAAGATGGATGTTCTCTTGGGGTTGCTAAAGCAGAGTTTTATAAAGATTTTCTCTACTACAAAAGATAAAGAAAACTCAGTCAGCGATAAGGCAGCTCCAGTTGGGGTTGATAGCTCAGCTACAAATCTATGAATCTCCCTCAGAAGGAAGCAATCCAGTCAAGGTTATAGAACACAGCTATGCATGGCCAGTAAGGTTGTGCTATCATAATAATTTAAAGTGAATGTACAGACAACATACCATATTTTTCGCTCCATAAGACCTGACCATAAGACGTGCCTTAGAGGTTTTAGAGGAGAAAAACAAGAAAAAAATATTCTGAACCAATGGACTGCAGAGACAGTACAGGAGATGACAAGAGACTGCGGATGTACTGCAACAGATGCCCAGAGACCTGCGGACACAGTACAGGAGATGACCAGAGACTGCGGCCACAGTACAGGAGATGACCAGAAACTGCGGACACAGTACAGGAGATGACCAGAGACTGCGGACATAATACAGGGGATGACCAGAGACTGCGGACACAGTACAGGGGATGACCAGAGACTGCAGACAGTACGGGGGATTACCAACAGACTGCAGGCAGTACATGGAATGACCAAGAGACTGCAGACAGTACAGGGGATGACAAGAGACTGCAGACAGTACAGGGGATGACCAAAAGACTGCAGACAGTACAGGGGATGACCAAGAGACTGCGGACCTTTGGGGAGGGAGGGGGAGCAGGTACCTGAATTTGACAGGTATCCGCTCCTACTTCAGCGGAGTTGTCCTCCCTTTAGTGTGGGCACCCGGCTATGACAGCCGGGTGCCCACTGCGCATGCGCAAGAAGCGCTGTGCTTTGTGAATGGCCCGGCGTCTTCTGGAACCTATCATGTGTCCCAGAAGATGCCGGACCATTCACAAAGCGCAGCTCTTCTCACGCATGCGCAGTGGGCACTCGGCAGTCACAGCCAGGTGCCCACACTAAAGATGCCGGTGCCTGAAGACTGTACAGCGCTGGACCGAGGAACAGGTAAGGTCCTGCTGCAGAGAAGAGCTGAGCGGCCAGCTCGGTATTCTGACACGGCCGCTTCGGCAGAAATACCAGACCGGCCACTCCATATTCACTGCATAAGATGCACTGACATTTTCCCCTCTTTTTCGGGGGGAAAAAAGTGCGTCTTATGGAACGAAAAATACGGTAGTTTTTATTTTGGAGAGTTGGGAATGATTAAAACCTCTGCAAATTTTCATTGATATCTATGTCCCCATTGGAAAGATACACTCTCTAATTTTGTCAAAACTATTGTCAATAGGACAGAAAACCATCACTTTTTAAAGTTATCATCATAATAGGAGGTGAGGTTAAATCTTACAATAAGGACATCTGTTCTGGTAACAACTGTCTAAGAGGGGATTTTTTTTTATCAGTTTTCAGAGATTTTTCTTTGAGTTTCTGGGACAGGAAGTGAAAGGAAATCTTTTCAACTGGATACAAAAAAATGACAATGATTTTAACCATTTCCAGCTCTACCAAAACCTTAATGTTTTTGACTATACCTACATTTTGGATATGCAAATGTGTGTGGTTCTCTTCAATACGACTGGAAAGAAAACTAACATTGGGAGTGATGAAACTGTTGGCATGTGATGTTGTAATATAAAAAATAGTGTAGCACTCCTAAAATATCTAACCACTCTTTTTAGGTTCTCAGCTACTTTTACATACAATTCAAGTATTTAAAAAGTGCAATCCACTCCAAAAAAGGGCAATGTGCTATAAACCATGAAATTAGTTAAGTGCATGGCCCCTTTAAAAGCCATAAAAAACATATTATGTGCTAAATCTTGACTGACTAAAGCTAAGCAGTACATAGCAGCACACATGAAGTCACAACTAAGTGCCAGTTATAATAATTTAAAGGGTAGCTTTACTCAAAGAACCTTGGAGGCTGGAAAAATTCTAGCTACCTGGCTACATGGTAATGCTGACTTCAGAGCTAATTGATTCACTGTCTTGCAGCAAGTATGCAAGCCCAATGCTTGTTCCAGGAAAGTGACTCTGATGTACTGACAGCGGAAACAGTCAAACAACTGTTATTATTAGAGATGAGCGAATCGAACCTGGCGAAGTGGAATTCGTTTCGAATATCAGGAAAAATTCGATTCGCATCGAATCCGAATTTTAGCAAACTTCGGGTGCACGAATCAAATTTTTATTTCAGCCGGCAAAAGTGTCACTGCAGAGAGCTCCGCTATTTCTGACAGTTCTGACAGTTCATTTACAGCGCGTTGAAACATTGTATCTATTTGTTTCCATTTAGGATACAGATGTTTTTATTCGGAAATAAATAGATACAATGTTTCAACCACTGTAAATGTGAAGGAACTGTCAGAGAACTGTCAGAAATAGCGGAGCTCTCTGCAGATACACTTTTTGCTGTACTTTAATTCTTCTTCTTTTCATTCTTCTTCTTCTTCTTTTCATTCTTCTTTTCATTCTTCTTCTCTTCTTTTCATTCTTCTTCTTTTCATTCTTCTTCTTCTTCTTTTCATTCTTCTTTTCATTCTTCTTCTTCTTCTTTTCATTCCTCTTCTTCTTCTTTTCATTCTTCTTCTTTTCATTCTTCTTTTCATTCTTCTTCTTCTTCTTTTATTCTTCTTCTTCTTCTTTTCATTCTTCTTTTCATTCTTCTTCTTCTTCTTTTCATTCTTCTTCTTCTTCTTTTCATTCTTCTTTTCATTCTTCTTCTTTTCATTCTTCTTTTCATTCTTCTTCTTCTTTTCATTCTTCTTCTTCTTTTCATTCTTCTTTTCATTCTTCTTCTTCTTCTTCTCATTCTTCTTTTCATTCTTCTTCTTCTTCTTCTTCTTTTCATTCTTCTTTTCATTCTTCTTCTCATTCTTCTTTTCATTCTTCTTCTTTTCATTCTTCTTCTTCTTCTTTTCATTCTTCTTCTTCTTTTCATTCTTCTTCCTCTTCTTTTCATTCTTCTTTTCATTCTTCTTCTTCTTCTTTTCATTCTTCTTTTCATTCTTCTTCTTCTTTTCATTCTTCTTCTTTTAAATCTTCTTCTTCTTCTTTTCATTCTTCTTCTGCTTCTTTTCATTCTTCTTCTTCTTCTTTTCATTCTTCTTTTCATTCTTCTTCTTCTTCTTCTTTTCATTCTTCTTCTTCTTCTTCTTCTTCTTCTCATTCTTCTTTTCATTCTTCTTCTTCTTCTTTTCATTCTTCTTTTCATTCTTCTTCTTCTTCTTTCATTCTTCTTCTTCTTCTTTTCATTCTTCTTTTCATTCTTCTTCTTTTCATTCTTCTTCTTCTTCTTTTCATTCTTCTTCTTCTTCTTTTCATTATTCTTTTCATTCTTCTTCTTCTTCTTCTTTTCATTATTCTTTTCATTCTTCTTCTTCTTCTTCTTTTCATTCTGCTTCTTTTCATTCTTCTTTTCATTCTTCTCATTCTTCTTTTCATTCTTCTTTTCATTCTTCTTCTCATTCTTTTCATTCTTCTTTTCATTCTTCTCATTCTTATTTTCATTCTTCTTTTCATTCTTCTTCTCATTCTTATTTTCATTCTTCTTCTTCTTCTTTTCATTCTTCTTCTTTTCATTCTTCTTTTCATTCTTCTTCTTCTTCTTTTCATTCTTCTTCTTCTTCTTTTCATTCTTCTTTTCATTCTTCTTCTTCTTCTTCTTCTTCGTCGTGCCCCGTGACTGCCCAAATGAGTGAAGTGTGCGGTGATTCTAAGATCGACGGCACTCATCTGCATGTCATACTGACTGACAGTATTATTTCTCTTCCCCAGCAGACTCCAAGGGCATTTAAATTAAAGGTACAGTGTTCTGCACTAATATAAAGGCTCTCTGAAGCCTAGAAACCCTTTAAATAAGTTAAATTCGCGGCGAATAAATTTGCATCGAATCAAATTTCTCCCGCAAATTCGGCGAATCAGCCGAATCGAATTTTTGAATAATTCGCTCATCTCTAGTTATTATCAGAAATAAATCAGCATTGGCAGTCTAAAGTTTCTCTTGAATGTCTGGGCTTGGATCCTCACTATTTGCCCCTCACCCCCCTGGAACAAGCCCCACATCATTCAAAAAAATAACATACCCTCGTTTCACTGATCTTGGGTTCATTTGCCCATTTCCTTTTCTGGTAGCGAGCACAGCCTAATTGCTGTAGAAGATTTCTGCAGCCTTCTTATGAGAGTATAGTGTGGGGAAGGAGCCCTGACACCCTGAGCTTCCAGAATGTAAGTCATGCAACTCAAAAGAGGAATGGCACTGCATTGCTGGATCAATAGATTTGTAGGGGACAGTTCTAGAAGATCCAGTTTTTAAATGCTCAGACTAGAATTGAATTAAGATGAGCACTTGGAGAAAATTCCTAGCCAAAAGGCTACCAAGGCCAAAAATCAGGCAACATTTTGTATTTTGTTTTGGACAGAGCTGAGAAGTGTTATACTATTTGCCAGGTTTTATTACCATCTGTGTCCCTATTGGGGAGATTTACCTACATTGTCTGTTAAGACAAGAAGCAGAGGCTAATTTCTTTAATGGGGACACAGTGAAAACAGTGAGGGAAAATCTCCCCTAAAAGGTCACAGACAGAAGTAAGAACTTAAAACTCTTTCCCTGTTTATTCAAACCTTGTCTGGATTAAGACTTTAATAATAAAAATGATAGCGTATAATGAATAACAGATCTATTTACTAAAATGTCAAAAAATTAATGGATACGTTCACCTTTTTTGAAAAAATAATAAATGCACATCTTTATGCAGGTAAAAAAATGTGCATTTATTATTTTTTTCACTTGGAGCCTATAATGCGTTGCACCTTTGATCAACAGATTGTGGGTACCATGCAGGACTCCTGCAGACCTGTCAGTATATCTGTCTGCTCGTACCTCATACGAGCAGGCAGATACACACTCACAGGAAGAGACAATGAACTAACAAGCGCGCTCAACAGAGCCATGGTAGTTCATTGAGAACTACAAGCCGAGATTCGCAAAGGCTGACTGTACTTGTAGTTTCTTATTCACAGAACTCTGTGAATGAATGATATGGCCGGGAACGTGACAGCATGTGGGGAAAGGAGATCCCCTGCTTGTTTTTACTAGAGGCAGCGGAGCCGGTAGTGGCTGCAGGAATGGGAACATGTTACATGTTTCACCCCAAAAATGGTTGTAAACACAGGTGAGCGTATCCTTTAAATGTATATGTGCACTGAACATTGATAAACCAATATTAGTATTATATAGTAAGTATTAGTAGTATTATTAATTTGTAAATTATATTTTTATTAGTAATCTATATTTAATTAACATGAATCTGCAATCTAAAGAGTAACTCCATTTTTGCTGAGAAAAAAACACTTCCCTCTGGGCCATCAACATGCATTGCAGACATTTTAACACACTTTGTTGCAGAGTCCTACCTGTTTCTGGTCTAGGGAAAAAAGCTGTGTGTACTACTATGTCCTTTGGATACTGATTCTGAATGGGTGGGTCTCATTATAATCAGCCCGATGCACTCTCAGTGTTATAATGAGAAAAGTTGCAGTGTCTGCATCCCTTTATAATGATTTAACCCTCAGGGAGTATCTCGCCAAAATTAAATTCCTATTGCAGAGAGTGCCTAAAATCTGACTTGTATCTCAGTGAAGACTTCAGGAAAAATCAGTTAGCCAATCACATAAGCAGGAAATCACATTTATGGGGGTGTTTTGTATACCAAAAGTGTACAGACCACCTCCAGGTCATCATATTGCATTGAATTTTCCAGAATATTACAGCGAATGCACTTGCAGATTTAAAATGAAAGATCATTTAATAACATTAACTACATAAAAGCTTTGTGTAGCAATTGTTTATACTATAATATGTTTTATTTGCTATGTTTTTTCCAAGAAAGTGGAGTTACTCTTAAAGCAAAGAGTTTTTTTATTAATTGGTTTGGCTAATTTATTCCTGCTTTTGTGTGGAAATAGGTATCTTTTGCTGTCATAACACAAATTTCTTTTTAGAAGCCGAAGAAGGGTTCGCTCTCTGCCACACCAACAGCATAATCACAATTTTGGGAATCAGCTTCTGTTTTTAAGATGCCATTGAAAGGATCCTTTCCACCTAACTGGACCCATATTGAAATATTCTCCCAAATATTCCAATTGTGGATTTTTCCAGTGTTCCCATAATAATATTAATAACAACAGCAACAATATTATAATAAATAATAAAGCAAAGATTTATCAGTGGTCAGTGACTGCTTGTGTCTTTTTATATAATTTTTTCATGAATAAAGAAACATGTTGATTACGTTCTAACAGAAGCTCCTTTTCAGGTTCGGCAAGAGGGTTTGCAGTGTGCTGCAGCTCCAGTTCCATCACTATTCTTGGTATCAACCTCTGCTTTTAAGATGTACACTTATAAGCCCGCTGGCCTAATATGCATGGATGCCCACATGTACTCTTAATATCATTTTTTTATATTGTCCTAACACACACAATAAAACAGTTTCTCAGGGTATACTGTCTGTCTCTGTATATGATACCATTGTGACTGTTACAGTTTACTTTTTTCCCTAAAAACAGTTCCATAAAAAAACTAAAGAACATTTTTTTGTGGTGATGGAGGTAAAAAAGTATTTATTTGTGCAGTCCTTCTATTTTCATTCAGCCCTGTAAATGTGTAGGAGTCATTTTCCTACCTTGCTGCTACAGTGCTGCCACTATTCGTAATGTACACATATAAGCAGCTAGGGCCAGGCCAGATAAATATGAAGGTTTTCAGTGAATGAAAGTGCAAGGGTCAGAATTCTGTAATGAATCTGGATGGTATACAGACATGGGGGATGATTTACTAAAACTGGAGAGTGCAAAATCTGGTGCATTTCTGCATAGAAACCAATCAGCTTCCATTTTTTTGTCAAAGCTTTATTGAACAAGCTGAAGTTAGAAGGTGATTGACTATCATTGACAGCTGCATCAGATTTTGCACTCTCCAGTTTTAGTAAATCAACCCAATAGTTAGGAATTTTAGGTCTAGTTTACCGCTTGTTCTGTGTGTGGTAGAGAAATCCTGTACATTAAACTATCTAGCAACAAAAAATGTCTTTAGTATGGAACCAACTTCAGTGCATATTTTCACATTCTAGAACTTGTATAAAAAATAATAAACATAAATAGGTAAAGAGAACTTGTCTATGAACATGTAAAAGCCTGCATTAGATACATATATAGATACATAGATAGATACATAGATAGATAGATACATACATACATAGATATCCTTTTTGCTTTTTCAGCTCTCATTTTTAACAGTGGTACACGTTTGTCTACATAAGGCTGGTTATGGGTTTGAATGAAAGAAAATCACTCATTTTCCCTATCAACACAGTCAGCGTTGATGGGGTAATCCCTCCTGTGTTATAGCTGGCTGCAGTAATCATACAAAAAAAAAACTCCTATGGATTGAAATTTGACCGGCCAACAGCAGTTGGGTTTTGATCTGTCTTTGGCTGACTTTAGACTATCACCAATATACTTCTCTACAATCAGCTTGCCCATAGATGGATCAAAATTTGACCAGTTCCTGCTGAACCTGCAGAATTTCGATCCATCTATGGCTTACATTAGACTATTACCCACATATACATGCGAGCATTCTATTAGTTGAAAAAAATATATATATTTTCTGGTAGTTGTGAATGGTATTATCACTGTTCCCTACATAATCAAACTGATAAATGTCACCAAATAGTATGCTATGATTTATGAGACTTTGGGCTCTCATATTGTTAACTAAGATCTCAAAATTCAGACTGTTGTCCTTGGTTGTGGTGTAAGCCGTGTACCGGGGTGGGCTCCCCAGGATACAGTGAAGTCACGAACGAGGAAAGCAACCCCAACACCAGCTTTTGCCACAACAGAATTTTACTTAGATGTGGCAAAGAAACACAACCACAAAGCTGGAAACATACAATAAATTTACATACAAACAGCCCAAAGGCTGAGACCCTTGTGCTGCACAGCACGGCGCCTTCTGATGATGAAGGTAGAAAGTGAAGTAATTTACCTACTGGCGGGCACAACTAAGCTGCCACACCTTACCCGTTATTGCCCTAAAAGAGCAGGAATCAGTGTATGGGTGTACGATATGGGCTAGCCTGCGGTGCAGCACAACAGCTTACAATCTTACACAAATCTAAAGTATTCCCTCTCCCATAACTGGTCCTGTAGCACATGCCTGAGTATTCCTTCTGAGCAAAACGTCAGTCTGGCTTGAGTTTGTAGGATTTTATCAGCTCTCCAATGTGAAATGTCAATTTAAGTTGTGGAGTCCTTCCAATGATCAGTAACAACACTTGTGGCCAGACACAAACAGAGACCCTAACTAACTAACTATAGGCCTGGACTCAGTCTCAAGGCACCAACACTGAAATGAGGTGCGTGCACGATCTTACCGACCTGGGTCTGCTTTGCATCCGCTGGTGACTCTGAACAGAACAAATGTCTCTCCAACAAGCATGCGGTCTCGCCGTATATGTTGCTTAGTTCCTCTGCTCTCATCAGCATTCCTGGCAGCAATCTCATCAGCATTCCTGGAAGCAATCTCATCAGCTTCCTGACAGCAATCTCATCAGCTTCACTTAGCTGCAGCTCTGATTACGGAATGGATGCTCTCACACCTGAATGTCATCAGATTCTCAGCTCACATGGCCCCCCTCATTCACCATTCTCCAGAACATGGCTGCTATCTCTTCTTCCTGTTCCCTCTCAACTCTATGTGTAAACTCCACCTCTTCATGAATATAGAAATCTCTATGCAGTCTGAGGCTGTGTTAGAAAAACAGTGACATCTTGTGGCTAAACTGCAGAATGTCAGTCAAAACATTGAAATTACTCCACACAAGCAGTATTCAAATAATGAGAGCTGTTTCCCCATCTCACACTGTGATGATGTCACTCTCGTGCATGCAGTCCATTGAGAGCGCAGTGCACATGCACCAGTGAAATCACTGGTGCTGGTAAAGTAGATATCTCCTAAACTGTGCAAGTTTAGGAGATATTTACTGTACCTACAGGTAAGCCTCATTATAGGGATACCTTTACTACCACTTTAAAGTAATCTAGGAGTTAGTATTTAGAATCAAAACAACTTAATAAATCACATATAAAGGAATATTTTAACTATCAGTAAACCCAGGTCTTTATAATTGTTTTAATTCTGAAATATTTATTAACAGGACCCACAGAAGTCTATGAATCTTGTACAAGATAGCAATCTAGGTATGATAGGTTAGCAAGTATCTGAGTGCCAGGACAATGACAAAATTTCAGTATCAGTACATATACACATTACTTTAAATAATATTACAGTTTTATATCTATTTTTCTATTATTGCACTGAATTGCATTTGGTCATTATTGTCCCGATGCATGCAAACATCGAGTGTTGGTTAAGGACCACTACAACGTGACTCTGAGATCTTGTTAAAAGCAACTCAGGATCAAATGACAGTGTCCTGCATTAACCTCATGTGTCTGATCTTTTCTGTGTTTTGAACATGCTGGGCAAGTATACAAGAACTGTTGTTTCTAGAGTTATCACTGCTGTTTGAATTGTTGAGCTGTGGTAGCCTGTCTATCATTTTCTGCTCTGCAGAAGCACTTGCCTTCTGCATATTTTGAGACTGAACATGGGTATAACTACACTGCTCACAACTGTAGTTACAATCAGGGGCAGACTGACAACTCATGGGGCCCCCGGGCAATAGGGGAGCATGGGGCCCCTGTGTCCTTGCCCAAACTCAAAAAAAGCCTATGAAAAAGGTACCAGGGGCATCTCATGGGGCCCCCTACTGACCCCGGGCCCGAGTTTCCAAATGGTCAGTCCGCCCCTGGTTACAATTCTTAGCAAGGATCTGTGCACCTTCTAGGCATAGACCTTAAAAATTAAGCTGATTTGCAACAGATAGTTGCCTGTTAGACCTAAACATGCAGTAAAGCCTTTCTTGAAGCTTAAAAAAAGCAAGACAAGGCAAAAATGTCTGATAATGTATATGATCAGTGGAACTGAACTGTGCAATGTGAGTTTTTGAATGATATAAAAGACTGTCTGAAAAATATTTTTCTTTTTTTATCAAATATTAATACTGAAGAAGAGTCTCTACAAGAGTCAAATAGTGTTACAGCCTTAACAAAGAAAGACAGATCACATTTTGTTGGCCAGGTTATGAGCAGATGATATGTTAAAATTGTATGAAACTATATCCTGCTACTCTGCTTTCTCCAAGCATTCTAATAGATTTTCTAGATCACTCTAGATCCCCATGAAGAGGGATCATTGTTAAAATACTGCTCACATCAATCCTTAGTAAGCAGCCAACTCCAAACACTCCACACTAAAACAGAAGCAGCAAGGGCAAAGGTTTATTGCATTGGGAGAAAAGCAGCTATTGAAGCATAAGCTGCCCAAGCAGGAGGGCAAGCCACCCAAGCACATTCATGAGCAGAGTCAAGAGAAAGCTGTCCATGAACATGCACTGGCAAAGGTGCAGACTACCCAGGTGTCAAAAACTAGTACTTGCAGAAGCACAGCTGAAAGTCCTCCAAAAGAAAAGAACCAGCAGCTACAGCTAAGTGTAAAGTTTGGAACAAGGTGTGGAGGAAAAAGAAGTCCATCAGCCTATTTTGACAGCCTTTGAGGACCCTGTAGATCAACCTTTCTCAACCTTTTCAACATAGAGGAACCCTTGACATAACTTTCCGGTCTCAGGGAACCCCTGCTAAAATTACTTACAATTCATGATACATTAGTGTGATAGTCAGAGGTAAGAATGCTCCTTAAACTCCTTACAGATTGCTAAAAAGATCAATGGTGTAAGTGGGAACTTAACTGAGAGGCAAAAACTGATCATTGCTCAAGGAACCCCTGGCAACATCTGGAGGAATCCTAGGGTTCCATGTTACCCTGGTTGAGAAACCTTGCTGTAGATTTTGCAATTTGTCTTAAGACAGAACAATGTCAACGCAATTATACAACACAAGGTGTTTTGATTTCTGTTGTAATATACAGTACATCAGAAATACTAGATTTTTGTGAAATAAAAAATTTTTTAAAATAACTTTTAATGCATTAAATCTGCAGTGTGGAAATAAATCAGCTAATCTGCATAATTAATTCTTGATTGCTTGTGCCTAAACAGAGGGGCTGGAGGCAGGGATTCTTTTGCAGCAGGATTCATTGTATTTTGTTCCAGGATAGCCAGACACCTCAGCATCAGCAATTTGGGCTGATATCTCTGCTGATCCCAAGGCACAATATAACAGACCTTTGCTCAAAGAAAGTAGCCAGAGTGTTCAGTTTGCTGCAATGATTGGCATGGAGATAACTAGGGCTGCAGGGTCTCACTAGAAGTAGACCAGAAAGAGAATAAGATATGTAATTTTCTCATATAGTGAGTACTCCACTTCTCGCAGTTCTCAGGAATGGATTCCCTGCTGTACCAGATTACTGCCTGTCCCTCATTACTGTATGCCTGGATTGTTGCTCTGTGACCTTGGGTTACGTTTCTGCTATACCAGATTGCTGCCTGTCCCTCATTGTGCCTGGATTGGTATTCTGCGCCTCTGGATTTATCCTTTGTTGTGCCCTATTGCCACACTCTTATATTGCTGCCTGACCCTCATTGTGTCTGGATTTGTGCCCTGTATCCTTCACCTTATCTGACTCCATGCTTGTTGAGCCCCCAGATAAAGAACCCCCTGGCCAAGTGCCCTAAAATCATTCTTGCTCTCCACATGTGTTCTGTTTTTCCCACACATCTGTCATACCTGTACAATAACCCACAGTACATGCATAGTACATAGTTAATTCACTGCAAGTAGGAAATAGGAAACTTTATTTCAGAGAAAAGACATAGAGTATACATACCATAGATGCAACTACAAACTTATAAACACTGCCATCTGCTGGATGAAGAATATATCTCTACTGAATACTGATGTAGTTGTTGCACAAAATACATGAACATTGTATTCTAACAACTAGTGCTTATATTAGTCTAATTTTGGATCTCAATTCTATGAATCTAATTATTGTAAGTGATCTTGTTAAAGTATGTGATCCACTTTTGCTTCTCATAGGTTGGAAGTCTTTGCATCTCATCCAATGAATCTGGTTTTAATGCTACTCAAGCAACAAAGAACAACGTTTGACTGGGATGCCTTTATTGCTCCTTCTTTTACAGTACTTAGATTGTCTGCATTAATTTCTATTTCTGTGTCACTATGTTGCTTATCTTCATGTGACCGTGATGTGGAATTTCCCTCAGTATGAAGCGTCTGTGTTAGTTCATGAAATTTTGAACACATTCAAAGTTTAATTAACAATTACACTTCTACTGATGGTTACCTTGTTTCTGTCTTGGTGTAGAATTCTGTATCCCTTTTGAGATTCACTGTACCCCACAAGTACACCTTCCTTTTACAAGCACCCCACCTTGTACATTTTTGTTTTGGTATGTGCACATAGGCTTTGATTCCAAAAATGTTTAGATGGTTCAAATTCAGGGCTTTTCCATTCCACAGTTCATATAAAGTTTTATCAGTTGATTTTGGAGATAGCATGTGGTCACAATTGCTTTCCCCTAGTATGTGATTGGCATAGCTGCATCAAACAGCGTGGTTCTTCCACTCTCACATAGACCCTGTGTTCTTCTGGGTTGTATGTTTGAAATATTATGCCATGTTTTCTGAGAATTGCCTGTGTGTTATCACCTATATATTCAGTTCCATTGTCTGTGTGCAATGCAATTGGCATTTTGCCAAATTTGTTGCTTACTTGAGCCAAATACTTTTGTCAAGAAGGGTATGTCAGTAAACAAGATGGCTCTTCTGAATGCATTTCTGTGCATCATCACAGGCTAATCCATGTTCCCTCTCATGCATCTAGTAATGGGGCACATGCTCACATATGAGTGCACATTGGTGTGCATACCCATGTGCATCGGCGTGCTCACGATGACAGATGTTGGCATCAAATGGGCTATTTAAACTGTGCTAGTGCTCACGATCAGTGCTGCTTTGTCTTCAGCCACCTGTATATTCTCAGATCCTGTGATTTTGTATCCCACGCCAGATACTGACCCGGCTTGTCCTGACTACTCACTGAACTGTGCCTACATTGACCTTAGCATTTCCTCTGACCACCACTTCTGCCGTCTCCATCTGCTACTGTTCTGTTGATTGGCTACTGACCCAGCTTGTACCCTGACCATGCTCTTGCCTGTGCCTCTGTACCTGATCTGCCTCGCCGTGTATGACCCAGCCTGCCGGCCTGACGCTGCTACTCTTCTTGAGGTCACCAATACCTACCTACCATCCTGCTGTGCCTGCTGTTCTACAGTCTACTACCAGTAAGTGCCTTGCCTGCTTGCTGTCGCCAGCACCACCTTGCTTCAGTCTGCTGCCCATCAGCTGTCTACCAGTTCATCTGCTTCACTGAAGATCACTGATGACTTCTCCTGACTAAACACCTGCTCTGCTACTAGCAAAACTTACAGGTACTTGTGCCACTCTGCACTCCTGTGCCTTTTGTTCACACTATCAGAGGCCCGAATCTGAGGTGCAAGAGAGGCCTTCCTCATTATTTCAGGCTCTGCTACCAGGTACGTGATAACTGTTCAAGTTTCTCTCGTACTTCACTTGTGTTGTGTAACAGATATAGTGTAATATACCTGGAGTAATGATCTATAAAAGTGAGAAAATACCTCTCCCATTGGACCTCAAAGATCTGAATGAATTGAGTCCAAAGATTTTTTTTTT